TTTTTTTTTGAAATTTTACGGACCAACAAAGTATCTATACCTAGCTTTTTAGGTTTGCGGAGTATGTGGAGGATCTGCTGTTGGCGATGGTGTGACAAATGTTCCTCACTATAATATTCATTTTGTTCTCCCATCAGGACTTGCAGATGGCGTATACCAACAGATATCTGCGATGTTTCCAACGATTTTCCACCTGGTACCAAGTGTATCGATGTCCGTGCAAGAGACCTGAAGCTGCGGATGTTTAAAGTGCAAATATTTAACATATCGATTGTATAATTTCGCTCTTGCTTATTCATCCGTTTTGTATCCCTCATATAGAATTAAGGGCTCTATTTTCTTGCTTTGGTGCTTTTGAACTGTGATATCCCAATAAATATATGTTGCGACAATGATTTAATCATAATGGTCAATGGATGGACACCCCATGAACGTATCGTTTTTCACCGTTGTTGTATTGTGCGACCTTCTCGGCGCTGGAGAGACTTCCCTTTCTCTCTGGGCGTGTTTCTCTTTCCGCTTGTCAATCTGATATTGCTATTTACTCCGTAATTCGCACTCTATCAATGAAAGCGCCGTTGAAACGGTAATGCGAATAAGCTCGTTTAGAGACAATTTGCTTAGAATTTGGAAGGAGTGATTGTTTATATACCTTATAGATTCAGGTCTCCGCTACTGTTAGGCGCCCGATATTCGCTAGAAATTCGACGAGCGCTTGCTGCTTTTGATTCGGAGGAAGAAAAGGAGGAGGAACTTACAGCAGGATTAGGTGCTTTGGACATACGGGCATATAATATGCACCCTGATGTGGGCAATTTCCTTAGCGGAGATAATAATACGTGAGCATTTGAGTAATATTCCGCTTTTATTTCATCTATGCTCAACTTTCTGTTATGATTGAGGAGTATTTCACTCGCCTGTTTTCTTCAAGTGCTTTTCCCGGGAAAAACGTGATTGAGTTTCGTTGCGCGCTAGAAACGAAGAGACTGCAAAACTGATCGCTGGAGATGTTTGTCATGTTAACTAATTAGAAAACTTAGAAACATTTCTAAAAAGTTGTGAGCGGGTGTTAAGACTCTTGGGCGAAGGGTGGACCCGTATAAGAAGCAATGAGAAATGTGATACATAAGAGATTAGTGGTTCAGTATTTATTGCGAAAACTGTACTGAGAACAACGAGTATGACCTTAGGTGGTCCAAGCGTGTAGGAGAGTGCGTGAGGGACCTTCCAATTTGCATAAGATAGGCGAAGCCCGCCCCCTCACAAGAGGTCAGATACGGTAAAGCAAGGAATCATCGGTTCTACGATGATAAAGTTTATGAACTTGGGTTGGAACAAATAGATGAGCTGGAGTTTAGTTGTACCATAGAGGATTTTAAAGGGAGTAGTAATGATACTGTTATGCTTCCTGCTGGATGTAGCAAGCTTATTAGTTAGCTTCTACATCCAGCAGGAAGGGCTGGATGTAGAAGCTAACTAATTAGGGCTTATTCTCGCTCCGCTTTATTATAAACTGGCAGTGAATTGGCTGGGTAGCCTTGAAATAGTATTCTATTCTCTGTTCAGAATATACTTTTAGGTTTTTGGAAGTCTTTCCTTATCGTTGTTCGTTTATAGGGAAGAAATTCCTCACTGTGGAGATGCTGGAACATTTATATTAGGTGCTGAGAATAAACCAAAGAAAATTGAAGTAAGTTATCACATTGTTACCCTTATTTTAAGCTTGGTACGGTAGCAGAAGCTTTTACTTTTCAGTATCTTTCTTTTACCCCAGACAGTTTGAATCATATCGGTCGGCAAACTGTTGCAGAGCTTCGAGAAAAGTACACGCAAACCGGCGAAAACTATAATCTCGCTTTTAAAATGGTTAGAATAATTTAATAATTGCACATTTGTTTGATGCTTTCATAAAATATTCATATTCAAGCTCAATAGTGATACGAAACTGGTCAAAACAGTATTGCATAGTCACGGATTTACACAGGTGAGCTAGTAACATTCGCTTTTGTTCCCGGTCATGAATTAGAAGTGCATCACAAAACTCAAAATTTTTCAGTGTTCTCGCAAGAATCCTTCGTTCAACATTCTTTGGTGTGGATCTTCAGTAAGAGCGACGCACATGCGTACTATTCAGCCTTGGTAATTGATGTTTCAATTACTTTTTTATAGATTGATAACTTGTACCAATATCTTCTTACTTGGCTATCTTTTGACTTGTTTATCTTATTCTTAACAATTTATGCATGCTCAATTAGCAACAATATAACATGTTCTTGTACAAACATAATCACCGTATAATCCTCTACACCTGGTTTGCACACATCACAATCTTAGAAGAGCAAGTTTGACTGATTACTTTTTGATTGCGAAATATGTTAATGCTCGTACACTTTCATAGGTTTCAAGTTAAGGCTGTGATCGTTGTACACAAGGCAATATATGCATGATTTGCTATTTACCAGTGGCGATCAAAGAGGAGGGTTTGGAGGAACGTACCTTTTTCCCTTCTTTCCGGGAGTTTTAAAATGTCACGGCTGGGACATAGAATTATCGGGAAAAACGAACTAGTTGTAACAATTAATTCACGAATTAATAGTTGCATCAGAAAACTTGAAAAGTAGATTTAGTTTGTTACTTCATACTCATGCGCAAACAGTGTCCTCCTCCCTCCTTTCCCCTCCCTCTCTTTTCTTGTTTATTTTTCGCCTTAGAAGATTTTTCTGTCACAGTACCTATCATATACGACTGCGAGCCATTCATTGTAATGAATTCTAGGCAGCGCATCAACCAATTCCCTCGTTCAACTGAACTTACCCGTAAGGACAAGCTCTATGATAATCTAGCTCGATCAGCTTCCATATTTGGTGATGCGTACAGTTTTGTAAGTCTCAAATTGCGACTTTCTTACGTGGATATTGTATAGCATTCGTTTCATCGACATCGAATTTCAAGGTTCCTGAGTATTTTGTGACTCCTCGGGATGTTTCTTTACTTGAGACAGCTATGGAGCAATCAATGTCCGACTTGACTTATATTGTCAAACCTGTAAGTTCGTCTCAAGGAAAGGGAATCTTTTTTGCTAGCAAGGTAATAGTTTTCCTGAATTTGAACAGTTTTTTTTTCAAAAATATATTTCTTCTTTTGCTTGCACCATTTTTTGAATTGTCTTGAAGAAAAAACCTAGTTTACTTGGTTCCAAGCAGGTAGTTCAATTGAGTCTTTGTTATTTCATGTAATTCCTGACTATTATAGACCCGGGAAATTCCACAAAGCGAACCTTTATTGGTTTCTCGATACATAGAGAACCCATTGCTAATTGATGGACATAAATTTGATCTCCGTATATATGTAGCCGTAACTTCTTTCTATCCACTTGTTGCTTATGTCTACTCTGAGGGACTTACTAGGTATTTACCTCTCTTTTAACGGAGCTCTGTTACATTGTCTTCTTGATCTATGCGGTTAAGGGTTGCATCAGAGAAGTACTGTAGTGAAACAGACACTCAGGATGCGTTCGTACATTTAACGAACTATTCAATTAACAAGAATAATTCCCATTTTGTTCGGTAGGTGAATTAATTATTTCTTGTCCTTGATTCCCGATTTTTCAAAAACTCGTTTTGGATGTCATTTTTTTCGAAAAAAAATTCTTGTTCATCAAATTTTCAGGAATGAGAGTATGGCTTGTGAAGATTTTGGGCATAAGTGGACATTAGGAGCACTTTTGCGTCATTTGGAGAAGAAGGGCATTGATGCCAAAAGTAAGGTTATTTAAAGGTTTTTGAAGAATGTTCAATTGATGTTTTTCAGTGGTGATGCTTCGAATAGAAGATATCGTTGTGAAAAGCTTACTTTCCGTACAAAATCGTATCACATCAGCATGTCGCACCACGACTCCACACGTGGGAACAAATTTTGAGCTGTTTGGATTTGATATTCTTGTTGATGACGACCTCAAGCCATGGCTATTGGAAGTAAATTTGTCTCCGAGCTTGTCTTGGTAGGTCAATTTCTTTTTTTTTGTCAGGTTATACTACGTTCACTGCTATCTAGTGATGCACCTTTGGATTCTCTTGTGAAGAGTCGACTAATATGTGATTTGTTCAATCTGGCGTGTGTGCCGTTAGTGAATAGGAAACTAGCTGGCATACAATTGATTCGCCCAAGCAAAGAGGAAGAGTATGGTAGAACTTTTTTCTCCCGTTTTCAAGTCTTTTTTGTCATCAATATGCATTACTTTAGAATCCGACTACGTTGAGCCGGAGCCTGAAAAGACAAAAAAGAACAGCCCATCGAAAAGAAATTTTAATGCAAAGGTCAGATTATTTATTAGTTTTTTTGACGCTGACGAAATGTCTTATTTGGTCTCAAACTACTTTTTCAGCGTCGAAGGATCGCTCGCTTAGCGTTCGCCCCATCCCCTTATGCTCCCGATCCAAGTATGCGGGCGATTTGTAGGCGAACTAGGACAGAAATGTCTAGACGAGGCGGATTTGTGCGAATCTTTCCAAGAGAGCACTCGTTGCAGCTTTATAGGTATGCTTCGCTAATTTCAAAGAATTTTTGACTAAGAGAATTTGAGAAGTTATGGCGCGATTATTTTGGTATTTGCTTCATTATTTGCACTCTTTATAGATGTGTTATGGAGCGGATTGGCTCAGAGAACCGTGATGAACGTTTGTACTATAAAGAATTTGGAGTTGAAGAAGACGAGGATAATGAAGAAGATGAGAATAGCCTGTCAACGTTGTTCCATGATGCGATGATGAATAGTGTAACTGTAAGTAAATAAGTAAATTACGCATTTCTTTATAGCAGGAATGGACTATGGATTGCAGTATCCTTCTCTGGAGTCTATGCCACAGCAACTGCAACAAGTATTACACGGTTGGCACAACGAAGCATCTGCGTATACTCAGCGAATAACTAAGGAAGGCCAGAAATATGCAGGTGTGCATTCTTTTCAATATTTTTTGTCAGTAAAATTTTTTCAAAATCAAATCAAAATGGGCCTTGCAGCATTTCTTTGCTAAAGATAAATGTAGGCTGTTAGAGCCTCAGAACATATATATACATGATACTCAGTCATGCGCTTTATAAGTTGAATTTTGTCGAGACAATTGACAAAACAAATTATATTCCTATATGTAAATCACACTGAACATATTATGTTACTAGGCGTGAAAATGATTGTAACTATAGCATTTTGCGGTTCACCGGTGCACCCTTTGATGAGATAATTCCTTCAAAGTGCAAATTTGCGATCAGTGATGAATATTTGCACTTCAGTACTCAAAAGAGTGGATATGTAAAACATTGAAAGAAGTTAGGCAAAGCAGAAATTAATGTTTGAGCAGTTTGTGTAACATATCTATGATTATCACTACTACCCCGAAACTCATTGAGCACTTCGATTTGTTTTAAGTGCGTAAGTTCGTCTTTGTAGCAAAGTTACCAGTCGTTCGACCTTCTGCTCGTCTGCGCACGAAAAGCTGCTCGGAATGGTATGAGGTAAAGAAAGCCATGCTGGCCGAAGCAAAACTTAAACTTCAACAAGAGCAGGAGGAAGGAAAGGTAAAGGAAGTAATGGATGAACAAAAAGAGTGGGTTTTGTTTGATGTTACTCTAATACTAGAGAGATCAAGTCAATTAAGCTCCTTACAGGATAGAAAACAAAGAAAATGCAAAACCGACACCAGTGAATGTATCGTAGTCGACCATGAGCTTATTCTAGGATTGTATTGAATGTAAATGTGGGTAAAAGTTATTGTTGTATACTTTCTTTCTGCTATTGTCTATGAATTTTCATCATTTTGTTGTTTCTTCCCATATTATATACATCTATATGATTTTAGTCTTTGAATGGATTTCGCGTTGTCATCACTCCACAGATTCCTCATAATATCTACTTTCATCATTCTGTGACCTTAAGCCATGTTCCTATAAGCTCATTGCTTCACATTTGTTGTGATTGTGACCTTCTTTCAATGTTGGGTTCGCCTTCATCATTCCTCTTTTCAGGTTGCAGTCAGTTTTTCATTTTTTTTT